GCAGATGTGCCCGGAGCAGCGAGCGCAGGGGCTGCTCGGCCCGCCGTCCCTGGGCTCCGGGGTGCTGCCTCCAGGTGGGTTTTGGGCGAAGAGCTGGGCCTCGCCACCAGCGTAGCTACCGAACCAGAAGCTGGAGCTTCTTCCCCCGGCCTCTGCAGTCGCCTGGGTTTCATCGAGCTGGGCATCGTGTTAGGACGGACCGGGATTGACAGGAGGGAAGATGCGGTGCCAGCTCCTGCGAGCTGGGCGGTGGCACCGCCAAGGTACGGGAGGCGCTCGGCACTCTCCTGGGCGCACGCTGGCCCGGCTGGGGACGTGGAGCCGCGCCGGCACACGAGGTTGCAGATGTATATTTAGCTCCGACTCGGCCCCCTTCGCTCTCCCAAGCGCTCACGTGACCCAGGCACCGGCTGCTCGGGCCGACGGCAGCACCAGCCGTTTTCTGCATTCTTTGGCCTGACAGCCGGAGAGAGGGGCCAGGCTGCGGGGCACGTCCCCTGGCTTCGAGCGGCCGGTTTCACATGACGGGACTGGACGAGGCCTTCGGAGGAGGCTGCGAGAGGCAGCAGTCGCTCGGTAGCGCTGCGCGCGCCCCACGGGCAGGGATCGCGCTCCGCGTGCCACAGGTGCTGCACGAAGAGTGGGACTTGTCCCGGGAGAGGAGCTGCTGCTGCGTGAGGGGCAGGGCGCTGGGCGGCAGTGCCTTGGCATCCTCCTTGTTCTCCTGGAAGCCAGCAGCCTGAGCCCCCAAACCCTCTTCCCATCAGCCAGAGTCAAGGGGCTAGGGGAACATCCCCCAGATAGAGCATAAAATGTCCTGCAGCTTCTCAACGCCGCATGTCTTGATTTGTGCTCCAAGTGCCCAACTTTCTACCCCTGACTTCAGAGTTGGAGTTAGGCCCTAAGGCCCGGAGGGCAGAAGGCACTTGCTGTGCCACCTCTGTGACATTTGAATGGGCTTAATGCAGCCTCCTTGGGGACTTGGAGCTGTGACTGCTCTTCCCTTCCCCCCACCCTCTCTGGGCAGCTGGATGTACCCAGCTGGGTCGTACAGGAGGGTGGAAGTCGTGGCATTGAGACCAGGATTCCTCACTTTCCTCCCCCCCTTCCTACCGCAGCTAGGGGACAAGGGGATGTGGTGTGTTTTGGAGGTTTCATTATTGGACCTCGGTGTTGGTAAAAGGTGTGTGGCCAGCAGCGCCCCCACCGGCTCCTATATCTCCTGCGTCACCCAGGTGCGCAGCAAGTGCTGTGACCCACACCTTCCCTGGTCACTGACACCCAGTGGGATCCCCGCAGTCAGGTTAGAACAGGCATTGCTGCCACAAACTTCTCCATCAAGATGCCTTATCGTATGCCGGGGTCTCCCGAGGGGCATCCAGTCTCTGGTTATTCAGTAGCTGACTTCTCTGGTGATGTAGCTAATTGTTACACTGACCATGTATGCATCGTAGGACTGACCATGTATGCAGTCAGGACACTGGACTGAGCCCTGCCTCTCTCTTTCCACGCAGCCACGGAACTATCGATCGTTTCGACCCCAAGCTGGATTTGAACCTGGGATCTAAAGGTGAGTCACGCCAGAGCGCCCTGCCCCTGAGCTATTTGAGTCTCATCTTTTTTTCTTCCCCTGCTGCTATTTAAAATCAAGCAAGGGCATTGAAACTGTTTAAGCTGTCTTAGAAAAGGCTTTATACTTAATAGAGTATTCCCTGGGAGAGTCAGTCCCCCAAAGACCATATATTTATTTGCAAAGGTGTTTGAGGTCCTTGAATTTACCCTATGGCCACCTTAAATCTAGTTTCTAATCCCCAGCGCAGTTAATCAAATCCTTGGCGGTTTGAATTACGAGCCGTCTCTGGGGGATTTATGGCTTGTATTGCTGATTATACCTTGACTTTATTATATTGCAAAATATCCAACTTATGGTCGCAGCTGAAATTTACAGTTGTCAGGTAGGTGCTTATAATAACTTTTAGCTACTCGGGATGTAATTGGAAGTAATTGATGGGGTTGTCAACATGGATAAACATGTAATCTATAAAATGGTAATACTCAGGGTGCTAAGGCAGGGCTAGGCAGAGAGCAAAGAGTGGAAGTGGAGGCTCTGTCTCAAACACCCATCCTGGAGCAGGCCTAGGTTTGTCTGCACCTGAGGTATTGTGCCCAGCTTGGGGCATGAAGTGCAGCGGGTTAGATCTCAGCCCCACTCCTGGTTTTCTGCACAATAAAAGGCCGAGTGGTGGTAAAAAGGCCCTGCTTAGAACAGGTGTGGACGACTGGGGGTATGTTCTCCAAAAGAGCATAGCGTGGATGCAAGCGCTGCTCAGACAGGGGCGGAGGGGGCACCACAGTGCTTGGTTTCTGGGAGAAGAATTGCTCCATGGGCAGAGTTGCTTTATGCTTGTGCCAGGCTTATCTATCTATTCTCCTCTTTGAGGAGCAGGCAAAGCTCCGATCCGGTTCCCAGCGCAGGTGTGTTTCTGCTTGGCAGCATGACCAGTGAGGTGGTGGAGGACGAGATGGAGTTTTATTCCAAGGCTCAGAAGTACTGGAAGGACATACCCCCTACCGTGGATGGCATGCTGGGCGGGTATGGCCACATCTCCAGCATTGACATCGATAGCTCCAAGAAGTTCCTGCTAAAGTTTCTTCGGGTAAGCAACTTGGATCTGATGGGAGAGGGTTGTGCAGGGGGCGGGGGGGAAGTGTCAGACAGACCCTGCGTTCTCACAGCCACCAGCTGCTATGTGGCTTTCCCCTGCCACCGCCCTCCATAGCACTTCCTTTAGAGCCAGACCCTTTCTGCACAAGGAGGAATGAGGTCTGTTATTTCTTTCCTTCGATCCCTGGTACGCATTGGCCAGCTTTGCCCCAAGATCTATCCTCTATGAAGTCACCATCAAGGTTACTAGATGGCCACTTGCCCCTTCTCCACAGCATGTGAATCATGCTGATGTCTGACATGTTGCTGCACCTGCAGCCAGCCCCCAGCCTCATCCACTGGAAAGCGATCTCAGTGCAGTCCCTAACCAGGCAGAACAAGTTGCACAAGGAGGGTGGTAGCAGAGAAACTGAGGACTGAGTGTGACCGAACCACTCGCCTGTTCTTGGAGAGGGACGTTCTTGTCGATGACCCAGCAGGGCAACTTGAGGGAAGCTTGCAATGTTGCTGGTCCCCACTGGTCTACAGCTGAGCAGGGCTTTAGGTCCTGTCAGCATTGCCACAATCCAGGTCCCTTTACCACACCTTTACTGCAACTCGTGGGTGTGGCGGTCACTCTCTGTGGCTTTCAGAATGGAGCAATTCTTCTCCCAGAAACCAAGCACTGTGGTGCCCATTTTTACTGTTTCAGGACGGCCCCAACAAGACAGGGGCCCACTGTGCCCTGGACTGTGGGGCTGGGATTGGCAGGATCACCAAGAGGCTGCTCCTGCCCCTTTTCAAAACTGTGGACATGGTGGACGTGACACAAGACTTCCTGACCAAGGCGAGGACCTACCTGGGGGAGGAGGGCAGGCGTGTGAGGAACTACTTCTGCTGCGGCCTGCAGGACTTCAGCCCCGAGCCTAACACCTACGATGTCATCTGGATTCAGTGGGTGATAGGTGAGCCTCCCTTCCCCTGCCAGCCTTCAAGGGTGCGGGGTACCTTGCACTGATGTCCATTAGCTAGTGTGCAAACTACCTGGGGCTCCACTTCCCTTCCACTCTCCTCCCATCCTTCAGCAGGGATCCTCCCTGCCCTGTATCCAGGGTTAGTTGTTCTGCTCAGTCCCAACTAACCCCTACCGCTCTGCCCCATGCCAGGACATCTGACCGACAACCACCTATCTGACTTCCTGAAGCGATGCAAGGCCGGCCTGCGTCCCAATGGCATCATCGTCATCAAGGACAACATGGCTCAGGAAGGAGTCATCATGGATGATGTGGACAGCAGCGTGTGCCGGGACCTGGACGTGGTCCGCAAGATCATCCGGCGCGCGGGGCTTAATCTCCTGGCCGAAGAACGACAGGAGAACTTCCCGGATGAAATCTACCACGTTTATACTCTTGCCATGCGATGAACCCCGGCTGGAGGTGGTTTGCCAAGAGGTACCCTGTGCCAGCTTGGAGCATGGGACCAGCACAGAAGGTTCCTCCTGGGGGTAGGGGTGAAGTTGCCACCAGTAATAGGGTCTGGAAGCTTCACGTTGGGCACCTGGGGGTGTCCTGAGTACCCTGCTGGGGCTGGTTAAGAGGACGGGGCTCGTCTTCCACATGACTGCTGTTTGTGAAGAGATGTCTGCCAAATACACTCTTGCTTTATTGCACCTCTTGGCATGTAGACTGTGCTTGAAAACCCGGCATACTTGTAGCACAGAGGTCGCTTACAAGTGCGTAAGCAGGAGGGGTGTGGATGACACAGCTGGTGTGTGTGGGGGGAGAGGGCCAGGTGTGAGGGCCTGGCAGCTGCCTACCCCCAGAAAATACTGCATATGCCTCCCTAAGCTTACGTGCCTGCCAGGCAGCAGATGCAGACTAGAACCCTTAGTTGTCATGTGCTGCCTTCCCCTTCCCTCTGGCGGGTTTGGCATCTGGCTGCCTTTGAGAAACTTGAGCACAGGCAGGGAGCCGTGGAGATCCCGGGAGATGCAGTCTGTCGGAGCCCCCAATTGAGGCTGATGTGCAGGCTCCGACAGGGTGAGGCCAAGAGCAAGGACTTCCCTCTAGGATCTTTGCTGTTTCCGCCTCATGGCCCGTGCCTGTGTGCTGGAGCATCTGAGACCCTGCTATGTAAAACAGTGGCCGAGCCTTAGCTGACTTCATGGCATTGTTGGCTTCTCTCTCTCTTGCAAGGCAAATGCTCTTAAAAATCATAAACAACTGTGTTAATACTACTGCAGTGATGCAGGTCTCGGTGTATCCTGCATGTGCTCTCTCTCAGTAACAAAGCTCTGAGAGACTTTAGCATCAAAGGCTCCAGGTAAAGAGAGAAGCCAACACCATTTAAGTGAACGTTAGGAAAGGAAAGAGCAACAGCTCTTAATTCAGAGATCAGTGTGGTTACACTGGCTGCGGGCAATCCTGTACCACTGGAGAAGATGTCTACAGAAGCTGACTGGGATGCTTCACAGCGTCTTACAGAACTGTAGCATTCTTCAGGCTGGGCCCACAAACCGTGAGCCTCACTGGAGCCCTGAGGCGGTAAGCTGCTAACATCACGTGGGCATGCGACTAGATGAGCGCCCATGACAGAGCCAGGGGTAAGCCTGGAGTCCTGTCTTCCTGGGCCCTGCCTTGGCAAGCAAGGTTCTACTTTTCGCCGAGGCTCTGGATAACTTGGAGGCTTTATGCTGTCCTCATTAAGCACAAAACCAGCCAAGCCAGATTCTTCCTTGGGAATTTGCTCTCAGCCTAGGGTAACCTGCTATAACTGCCACTGTGAAGCCAGAGGAGTTTCACTGTAGTCTGACGGGTTTTGCTAGACTTATGCTGGCTTAGAACACAGCAAGGAGCTAGTCTGCTGCACAGCCCGACACGAACCAGCGTAGTCGGCTGTTATTTCATTGGAAACACGGCTGTTAAGGTGCCTGGTCCATCAGCAAGGCTTGGCTGACCAGACGTTCTCTGATCTTTTAAAGGGTGCCTTTGTCAAGGCTCCCATCTCACCAAAGGCCAGATCTAGCCCCAGCTGCTCAGTGCCCTGGGCCATCTGTGAGAGGAAACAGACATTTCTGTTACAAAAGGTCTCACTTTAATTGCTTGATCTGATTCAAGACACCAGTGTTGTGTTTAATTGTATATCGGTTCATCAATATGACCCTTACTTGCTTGCAGGGGAGGGGGAGAAGCCATGAGTGGACAGACGTGGGCAGCCTGGTAAGTTTTACACGTGTGTCCTGCAGCGCAAGGCAAATGCGAGGCAGCGACCCTGCTTTTGGATTCAGCCGCTCCAGCCCTGGGTGACTGAAGTCTTTTAGTGCCCTGCTTGTCTCTCTCAGCCGATCAGAGCAGGTTTTCTAGCCAGATTCCCCGGTGGTAAGAAACAGTTTGGCAGCTGCTTGGCTTTGGCACTTGGGCACAGTAACATGATGCAGCTGTGCTGAGGCAGTGGTACTGTGACTCTGGTGATGTAGGTTTTAGACCAAGTTAGCAGCAGCAAAACATGCTGCGGTACTAGAACACAGGAGGAAGAAAACCAGGGTCGTCCCTGTCTTGCTCGTTGGGTCACAGGGCCTTGAGTTGCTTAAGTTATGCACAGTCTGGGCAAAGAAGCACTGTTGGGACCTCTGCAGGGATCTCTTCCGTGTGGGTGGAGGATGTCCTGTGGCCTTCAGAGCAAAGGGGAGGGTGGTAGACCCTGGGATGGAAGCCAGTTTAATGGAGATAAGGATCGGTTAGATTTGTCCATCACACCAAAGGCACAGTGCAACAGGGGCAGTACACAGGCAGGCTCTACCTCCCCGTGTGACAGCACCAGATAAGAGCCACAGAGGCTGCAAGAGAATCTGCTGCCAGGCCACAGGAGCATCGTTGCTGTCATTCAAGTGCTGCGTGGTGTGCTGGCTTCTTAGCACTGTGCTTTATATCCCACTTCCTCTACAAACCACAGAGGCAGCTGACTCTTCCCCAAGGGCTGTCAAGCTGCACGGAGAAGATGAGCTGCTCTCTGGCCCTTCTCACAGGTTACAGAGAGGGTTAAGTATGTGGCTGGTGTCAGTTCTGTCCTTTGCAAAGTGGGCTGCTCTTCCAAAGGGTGTAGCATACAGGGGTCTGGAAACAGGCCAACACAGTGCATGTAGCAGCATACACATGCAAAGCTGACAGACTTGTGAACAGTGGTATCTGAGCAGCATGATCAAACAAAGCGCTGGTTTGCAGTGGAGAAAGTCAGTCTAGGGCATGAGGAAGTATTTGCTCTTCGGGACAGGAAACAGACGCAAGAGTGGTTGTGGACAAAGCAGCCTGGCTCAGATGCCCTCACTACAGGCGTGGGTGTGATCTATGAGGAGATACCACTTCAGCCTGTCTGGAAGAGGTAGGGCCTTTACTTTCATATCTACTGGCCAAGGTTTAAGGTGCTGCCGGATGTAAACTCTGCAGAGGTGCTTCAGGGCCTGAGGCGAGCGCTCCAGCTGCTTTAGGGAATGGAAAAGGGCCTTGATCTTCTCCCCCTGGAACCTGCAGCTGCTAAAGTTGACCTCAAAGTTGCTGGGCAGCTTCACAGTCTGAGCACTGGCCACCATGAGCTCCAGCACAGTCTCTGCTTTCTGCAGCAAGTCTGCTGAGAAGCTGTCATCCTCAGAGCTGCTGAGGTGGGAGCACAGTCGCTCAAAGACGATGTGGAAGCCCGACCAGCAGGAGGGTCCATGGAGGGAGCAGTTGTAGGAAGCCCCTGATTCCAGCAGAAAGCGCAGGAGTGAGAAGTGGAGCTTGAAGCTCTTGAGACAGATGTGGGTGAGGGATTCTTGGGCTGGACACTCGCTGGGGTCGGCTCCATGGGCCATAAGTAGTTGTGTGACTCGGAAGCAGAAGTGGTGGATCATCTGCACCTCCTCTGGATCTCCTCCCACTGTCTCCCCAAGTAGGAAGATGATGCAGGTGAAGACTGTGTCACCATCTTTTGTGGTGGCCTTCACATCTGCACCTGAAGCAAGGAACAATGAAGGAGGGAGGGAGTTGCTGTCAAACAGACTTGAAGACATGGACTTGCTGGAGCAGGGGTTGTAACAGCAAAAGCTGGGTGCCTGCACCTCTCTGTGCCCTTTCTTATATGGCAGGAGTGTAGGTTTTCTGCCTTTCTTATATGAGGCATTTTCCCTAAGCTGACACCAGTTTTTCCTAGAGACTGCTGAGACTACAGGAACTTTTCTATTTTCTTAGTGCCCCTATTTCAGCTAGATCCTCCTTTTTAAAAGAGGAATGAGCAGTTTTCCAGGCAAGGCTATGCCGTGGAGTTGTATAAGGGCTCTCTGAACCAACCCAGCTTTCTTACCCTACCTTATGCACTGCCAGCAGTGTTGGTCTTCTTGATCCCTGCTGTGCACAGCAGAATTTCTTCACTGCCCAGCCTGCCTGGCACAGAGTGCAAGAGGCTCTGGGCACAGAGGAACACCCACAAGCTGTCCTATATGGATGGCTGGCATCTTACTGACCCAGCTTCTGCCACCAGGTCAGAGAATCCCAGCAAAAGTTTAGCAGTACAAAGCTTTTACCTGCACAGAAAAACTAATGGTGGTGTTAAAGGGAGCAGTTGGGGGCTACTTGGCTTAGGAGCTGCTTTGACTCAGTCAGCAGAGACGTAGCTCCAGTCTGGCCAACACAAGGGAGGAAGGGCTAGGACCAAGCATCACATGGTCAGTCTTCCTACTTGATGCATAGGAGCCACGGGCATGGGCCAGGGCCTCCCTGCTGGGCTGACACGGAAGATAGATGGTCCCTGTCCCAAAGAGCTTCCATTATTAACCCTGAGGAACAAGGCTGCCCCTACCTCCTTCTAGCAGGAGACGGATGTTCTCAGTGTTGTGGATCTGGACTCCATCACTGCTGGCCAAGGCATGCAGCAAGGCAGTCTTGCCTGGAGAGGGAAACGTGGAGCACAGTGAGCAACAGCCACACTAAGGCGATGATTGAAGAGGTAGTATTTTGTGCTCTCATGCTTTCTGGGCCCTTCTGGTGCACTGGAGAGCACTACAGGCTTCCAGCAGACCTACTTGTACAGGCAACAATGCAGCCTGTTCACACGCTGCTACACCATGCAAAGAGCAGGCAACCAGCATGCTGGTATGATCCCAGCACATCCCTTTACCGCACAGTACGTAGTGATGCAGACGCTGCTGGAAGTTAGAGCAGGAGTGCATGTAGCCTTGGGAACAGTGCTGGGTGATGCAATGCTGCTGTAGCATCACGAGAGGGAGCACTAAACACTAGCATGTGAGCACATGAAAATAAACTTTCACAGACCTCTGGCACATGTTTATTTAAAGGTGCCGTGACATCTATTCCCGATCCCAACAATCACACCTTTCCCCATGCCATGTCTTGATCCCAGGCTGCCCCTTCACTGCCAAGTTGAAAGGCAGCCGGCTGCAGGGCTGTGACCAGGGCTGACAATCAATTCAGTGTAAGGTGCTGTATGAACCAGCCATAGATGTGCTCTGCATTATATGGAGAACACTTTTATGGCTGGTTTGCCATTTTATGGTGCCTTAAATTGGGTGCATATATAAGCACCCTTGTCATTTATGCTGCAATTTACATGTTAATTGTGGCATAAATGTAACATGTAGAAGGGGATCATACAGCCTGCAAATGTTGCACCATGACTGCTGCTAGTATAGCCCTGACCGATGCAGCCAGAACACCCCAGGCAATGCTGCAGTGCTTAAAGCACAGCTGAGAACCAGGCCCCTTCTAGAATTCAGTCTTGCCTGCCTCATTTTTCCTAAAGCAAGCAGGAGCCCTAGTGCAAGCACTACTGACTGCAGGGAAGGGTTGCAGATCACAGCTGGCCAGATGAATTTTCAAATTGGTCCTAAAATGGTCTGAGCACACAGGGGATTCAATTTCCAGACTCAGCTGCTTTGGCAAGAAGAACCCAAGTCCTTCTGTCCTGCTCTGACTAGACCACACTACCTTTTGTCTTCTCCACGTGCCGCTGCTTATCTTCTACCTGGGAGTCAAGTGCCCCAGGCAGAGGGCAAGGTCAGTTAACTCTGCGTGTATGGGGCAAAGGGGCACAAACCATTTTTGTCGGCCGCGTTGATGTCCGCACCGAGTTCAAGGAGACGCTGCAAACACGGCAGCCGTTCGGGCTCTTCACTAGCGAGATCCAGGGGGCTGCTCTCGTGAATCTGTGCAGAAGGGAGGGAAGGATGGTGAGTAACCCTCTCATCACCATCTGCTATCGAGGCCTCATGCTGACTGCTCAAGGCACCAAGAACATTCCACATTCACAGGGAGCCAGTGATACCAGGAGAAGGTACTATCACCTCTCCTTTGAAGTCCCCACGCTCTTTGCATCAGGAGCATTGCTACAGAGGCAGGGCCTATAAGATCTGCTCGACCAGTGGGCTACAAAAGGTGCTTGGCATGTCAAAGGGCCACATGTAGTTTACCGAACAGAGTGATGGCTGCCCTTACCACAGACTTGCAGCCGGTGCAAGCTGCCCCCCCAGGAGGCAACGCTCCACTGGGCCCAACCAGCATGAGACCTTAGCAATAAGGGGATGTCCCCCCCCACATACACACACACTGAAACCACAGCAAGCCCCTGGCTCCTAGCAGGAGTTACCAGTCTCAGAGAGGTAGAGGAGACCAGAGGGCTGGACTGGGCTCATCCCTGTCTGGAAGTGGGTACGCTCCCTACCCGGTCCCTTCGGTTGATGTCTGCCCCACGCTGCACCAGGAGCTCCACCATGTCAGGCTGGTTTCGGAGAACAGCGATGTGCAGAGCAGTGTAATAGGTGACAGGATCTAACGCAAGAGAAGCAGCAGGTCAGGGAGTCCAGGGGAGGCAAGGCATCTACTCAACCCCCCAGCTACAGATGGAGCCTGGTATCCAAGAGGCTGAAAGGGCTGAGTGGACTAAAACCCAGGCCCCTGAACTTCAAACAAGCAGACTGACAAGCTGAGTCTTCAGTCCAACCTGCAGGCCCTTGCCAGACAATAGGACATCCCAGGTACCTGGCCCCGGTCCACTGAAGACAGCCCCCAAAAGTGATGATGCAGCGCAGCCCTGGGCTTGAACTGCAGCCCTGGGGAGGTGGCACATCAGTAAAGCTACCAAGGGTGAAAGGACAGTGCATTCTTTGGTCCTCAGCCCTGCAGGCTGCCTGGCCACAGGGGCAGCAGAAAATGAGGCCTGAGAGTCCTTGGGACACAAAGGGAAAGAAGGCCTAGACCCCCAGCCCTGCCTGGGGCCAAAACCCCACTGGACAAGGTGCCATTGCCAACCAGCATGGAGCAAATTTCCCTGGGGGAGCTCTGCCATGAGCAAGCTGGTTCCCAGCCACTAGCGGCACAGAAAGAGAAGCTCAACCCAGAGCCCACATCACCCCTGCAGCTGACGGGCTCATGCTTTCCACCTCCGTGGAAACAAGATGGATGCGAGAGAGACTCACCATTGAACGCTGCTACATCACAGTGGCAGGGGCAGCAAGGGATGCAGCTCATGGTCCACTCCTCCCAGCTCCCCAGCCCCTACCAGTAGGTGGAGCCCCCCAGGCGGTGGGACCAGCCCTGTCCAGAAGCGGCCGTGCCGCAGGAAGGCAGCCAGCGTTCCACGCGTGATGTCACAGAAACCCGGCGCCAACAGAGCAGAGCGGCTTGGGTTCCTGTGGTGCCCTGACCCATGCACCAGCAGGGAGTGTCAGGCTGATGCAACACACCTTTGCCATCTCATGGGGACAGGGTGTTGCTCTGCACCACCCTGGTGATGGAAGGTTTCTAGGTACCTGCAGGATGGCACTGCCCCAGAGAAAGCAGTACCTCCTGCAGCTCCACCGGCGCCCTCCTCCCAGAGCCCTGCAAGGGAGCGCCTTACACCATGAGGAAGGGCAGGAGCTTGGCCCCACAAATGCAGGCCCAGAAAGCTGTGTTGCTGCTTGGGAATTCAGCATTGAAAGAGGCCATCGTGTCCAGGACCCATCCACCAGCACTAGCCCTCCCCTCCTCCTCCCATCCGCTGCGATGCCACCCATGGATTTACCTTCAAAGATGAGGTCGGCCCCATACTGCAGGAGGATTTCGGCCACGTGCACCAGCCCAAGCTCAGCGACCTTCAGCAAGGAATAGCTCACTCCTTCCTGGTAGAAAGGGGACTGGGTCTCTCTCTCCAAAAGCTCGCTGAGGACTGGGAACCTGCTCCTATCTTCAGCCAGGCAGCTGGGGCTTGGGGCACAGGGAAGTCACTGATTAGGCTTTAGAGCTATGCATTTTTCTGCTCCTAGACAGCCCGAGTCAAAGCCAGTAAAGCCAGTGGGAAGACCCTGGCTCACGCTGATGGGTTAGTAACACCTCGCTGGAGGAGCTCCGAGGAGGCTGCTACAGCAGAAAAGTGCCCTGAACAAGGGAGGCAAGAACTGAAGCCTAGAAAACGCAGGTGGCACCCCTGGACCGCAGCTGGGACAATGCAGCCAGTCCCGTCCGTCAGCCCAGCCTTTCGCCCACTACGCTCCACTTCCTTCGGCCCCTTGCGCCAAGGCGCCCGCATCGCCGGCTCTCGGCGCAAAGCGGGCACCCGATTCCCTTCGGAGAGTCCCGGCCCAGCGCCCAGGTGCCCAACGTCGGCACATCAGCAGCGCGCGATGCCAGCCGGCGGCGGGTCCCGCGGCAGATGGCGGCCTGCCTTCGCTGCCCCGCACGGATGTCTGACCTGCTCCGATTCAAGCTCCGGCAGCTGGGCGGGAGGCCGCTGAGCTCTCATGACTCCCGACCCACGCGCGCCCACGGGGCAGGGCTCGCCAGGGGCCGAACAGCGGTTTCAAGCAGCAGGTGATGCTCTCCTCTCCGCTTACACGCGCTCGCCTCCCTCCCCAGAGCCGACGCGGGCGCTGCGCAGCACGCCTGGGCCCCCAGGACGCTCCCCTTTGGGGCGTCTTCTCAGCGGGCGAGACGGACCCTGCACGCGGCGCGGCGCAGAGAGGATGGAGCCGGGCTGTCCTCAGCAGGGGCAGGTGACAGCACACGGAGCAATGGGCTCAGGCTGCAGCAAGGAAAGTTGAGGCTGGAGGGGGAGGGGGGGGGGGGCACACGGGACCGGGTCGCCCAGGGCGCTGCAG